AATGAAAATTTTGTTTTTAGTTTCTGAAATTGGAATTGAAAATTTTTGTTTTGATTTGGTTTTCAGTTTTCTACCCCCTTCTCTCCATTCCCCCACTCAGGGGAATAGAGGGGGGAACCACCCCCACCAAAAGAAGCCAAAACTAAAATTTTAAAATCAAAACCAAACAACGATTCTTGTTTTGATTTCTTAAATCAAAATAGACAAACACCATGACAACTTTTGAAGAAAATGAAAAATGATAGAAATTTTTCATGAGAAATGCTTAATAGGGCTGGTGAAGAAATGTTAACTAGCCACTTTCATATGCAATTATCTGATGTGCAGTCAACGTAATTGCACACCTAATTAGCCTGTAAATCTGGCCCTTAAAGTATCCCAAAACAATGGCTTGTGTAATTTTCATTTTGTTATGAGGGAGGAATATTTTAATAATATTAATGGCATCAGGTTTCCAAAGTAAATTAATGCAAATCAGTTGGTATACAGAGTTTGAAATAGCTTGATAGTTTGAAATAGCTGTGCATATTAAAGCAGAAAAGAAAACTAACATATGCCTTAAAGAAAAAAGAGATACCAATCGTATTGAAAATAGCACTCTCTGTTTTACAGTATCATGATAATTTGCATATATATTTCCTGTGACTGATTAGATTTCTACCAAGTGCTTAGCTACAGCACACATCTACAGAAAACAGTCAGTATAAAATGCATATTGCGCTAAGGATCCAAGCTCTAATCAGTATACCACAAGGGACCTGTGGCAGGGTCACGAACATGACTGTATCTTTCCAGTTCTGATCATTTATTTATTTCTAGCCCATTTTGTGCAAACTGCTGGTCATTACTTTAATAATTATAGCCAGAGGATCAATGCCCTGTTTTCAGTGGTCCCCAATTCATCTTTATACACAAGCAGAAAAAAGAAACTAGATAGCAATGCATTATGCTTTTCTCCAATGGCACTTTGCTGATGACAATGTATCAGAAATCTGCAATGATATGAGAAGACTGAGTTTGCAGTAAATAGACTTCCAAGTTTCCAAAATATAATGGGCCACTGAGATTCTGAGGTTAAGCATAAACCTCTCATTCCATGTTTTTGCCAGCCATGGAAGGATTCAATTGAACAGAACAAAATCCTACATTTTTAAAAAAGAGGAAAAAAAAAAAAGCCTTTTTGTATCATTTTGCTGGAATCCAAGCTTTTCAGCTACCTCAAAGCTAAGATGTCCAGAGCAGAAGCATAAGGTTGGACTAAAATCCTAGCTGATGCAGTAGAAAAAAGGAAAATACCCACGGTTAGCTCCACAAAAAGCAATGCCTGCATATTAAGCCCAGGCCTCCAGGGACATTTGCAAACTTAGGCACCTAAAGTGAGGGATTTAAGTCCACGATGAGGGACCTAAGGAACTAGTCTTATTTTCTGTGTAAGCTGCATGAGGCTCAGCAATTGGAAGTCAGGCCACCTGTATTTACGTGCTCAACTATGGATTGGGTGCCTACTGCCAGGAACCATGTTTGAAAATGGTTGCATCTGATGAAGTGGGTTTTTTACCCATGAAAACTTATGCCCAAATAAATCTGTTAGTCTTTAAGGTGCCACTAGACTCCTTGTTATGTTTGAAAATGTTACCCAGTAAAGTTCCTGGTAGAGTCAGATCATAGATTTCACTTGCTGTTGCATCCACAATTGCCACAAAGCCATTGTACGTGACAGAAGAGGCACCAGTTATTTTTTTTTTTTTAAATTGGCCATGTTGTTTGATGGATCTACTTAAAAATATTAAAGAGTATCATGTAACAAAGTATATAGTATCTTAAACATCCTCTCTGTTTACCTTATGTAATTGTTTCAATCCCTCTTCGGTTTTTACACACGACTGCTCAACATTGTAGTCAATTCTGTCCAGAACTGTACCCTGAATAACAAACAACAGTTATAATGAGCATGCACCTGAACCTAAATAAATACTACAATTGTAACAATCAGTTACAATTAATAAGAGGGTGATAAATAGGGTTCACGGAAGATAACTGATGAACTATGCAGTCTTAAAAAAAAAGAACAGGTCAAGAAAATAAAATGTTGTCTTTAAAGGAGTTCCTAGCTTGGTTGCCTAAATAATGGGACTATTATACACCTCAAATTGTGCATGCTTTAACAGTGATCATTTCAGTTTTTAAATTATAAATGCAGATCCAGTTACTTGTAATGACCAAAAGTTTCTTGCAACTTTAACACTTTTTCATGATCCCAGGAAACAATGTTGTACTCTTGGTTAGTTTTCTCAACCCCCAAATTCCTTGCACCATGGAAATGAAAAGAAACAATGGGCATCCAAACCCTTTGGGTATGGGTATATCTACATAGCAACCGAGAGGGTGCTTCCCAGCACTGATACACAGACACACACTAGAAAAGGTTGCCAGAATTTTTTTAACATGAGCAAACATATTTTCCCCTAGCCTGGAAACTATTTTGGTGGCAGAGGGGAAAGAAAGAAGGGGGGAATATGCAAACTAGCTTGAGGCAGACACCAAGCATGGAATATTAGAGCCCAAATGGTTGAAATTTGGCAAAGTTGTAAGAAATTGAAAAGAGGGTCTTAACAGCGAGAAGTGTCAGGCAACCTTAATAACAGGCAGTGCTACCAGCTCTGTCTGTAGTGCTGATACCCTGGGTCCACACACCTGTTCCACTATCATTGATCCAAGGTCCCTAAATATTTCATTGAGATCAGAGATTGATTGTACAATCTGGCGGATTTCTCGTTCCCGCTCTTCCACCATTAATGAGTTTTGTTCCACCAATACTAACTGGTCATCCGTAAAACCCTGTAGAAATAGAAGATTTAAATGATGAGCTAACAGTAATAACATGGAACACTGGTAGTAATAAATATAAAGTATTGTCATCCTAATGCCAGGGTCTCTTTGGAACTCCCATAGCAGCCACAGACATCATTAAGAAAAAAAATCTTAGTGTGCAACTGTGCATTAAATATGTAACAGATTTAGGGCTGCCACAAAAATAATTTGGATTGCCATCTGTATTTCTGGTAGACATGATTTAAATCCAGCTATGCATAATTTAAAAAGAAGAAACTTGCACACCCAAAATAGGCTAGCAGTTAAAATGTCAGCAGGACATAAAAATCTGTCTGAAAGCAAGTTTGCCCGCATGTATAAAACCAAAGAAATGGCAAAACATACATGTCAATGGTAGTAGGTATGCCCTAGCTACTCAATGCTCAGTGTACAGAACATCTCATAAGGTTAACTGCTGTTAAAGTGTGTATACCACAGCAATGACTGTGTTTGCAGAATCATTTTGTATTACAGACAATACTATTTTTATCTCCCAAGGCCATTCACTACAAAGCACTGTGCTCATTTTCAGGCTCTCTTGTTTAGAGGTCAAGTGGAACACTACTTTTATTATGCTACTTGAAATACAGTCTACCACCTTTTCCACGAGTTTGCTGCTTAACCCTTTAGCACTGGAGGTTGTGGTGTTTTACAGTGCCAACAAACAGAGGCATACTGAGAAACACTCACATAGCAGGGGTACGCAGTTCCCTGAAACACTGCTGTGGGTACTTGTAAGGGATGCATCTGGCATGCGTGGTAACGCTAGAGATGTGTATTGTGTAATATACCAAGTAGGTGAGGTAGAGGTGAAGCATTACATTGGACCCATTCTTCGTATCTATGCTCCATAAGGTCTGTGCAGAAAACTTCAACTTCTTTGTCAAGAGGAAATAGAGTCACAGGGATCACGCCTAATGATTGCACATTGCCACCATCCAATTGAAGCTACCATCCTGCCAGCTGATGACAATTCTCTTCAGAACCCCTGCATGTGCCCTGGGAAGATGGAGTGAGGGGTGACAATGCTGCCTCTGCAGAGCTCCTAGTCCCTATCAGGGGAATGAGAGTTTGATTCCTGAACTCATGTCTCCCACACTGCAAAAATCAAAGCTAATCCCAACTTCCTAACATTATGAATGACAATCTGTGCTCTTCCTTTTCCCCCAAAATGTATGGCATGGTACATATTACTGAACACATCTTAGTGGTGACATATCAGAGCAGAAAAATACTTTTTTTAAATTAAAGTCTTTAAACCCCCCCCATTTACAATAGTGCTATTAGGAAAACACTAAGACAACTGGCAAGATGGAACTCCCATGTGGTTTGATGCATACATCAGACACAATCTGATTTTTGATTCATTCTCATGATTCTCATATTTAAGACCACAGTAAAAAAACAAACAAAAAAACCCCACTCTCCAATAAACTTCACTTAATACCTACTAACTTACCCTATCATAAAGAGTACTGTCCTCTCCATCATCCATAAGCGGGACTGACGTATCGAAGAAATGCTTGGATCTTTCTTCTCGATTCTTCATGCCTGTAAAAAGAGAAAAGCTGTGGTTGAGTATAATATTGGGATACACAAAGCAGAAAGTCACTCAGAGCCACTATTACCGGTTTGAAATACAACATTCTGAATGTTAATGTACTTTAGGTGAAATAAGATTTTTCCAGAAGCTTCAGGAGGACACAAGAGATGTGCAGGAGAGGGAAACTTATTTATGCAGAGCAATATCACGCCATTAGCCAGATTTTCCTAAGTGCCAGGCACTGAAATTTAATCACCATATACAGATGGCTATTTACAAAGCATGACCAACTTTGACTACACAAGATTCTGGTTAGCTCAACAACTCTTAATCATCATGTTCCATGAACTTCAAGTAATTCAGCATGCTCTAACATTCAGCATATCAAATTTAAAGTAATTTAAAGGTTTTTTTGTTGCCCCATCTTTAAAAAATTATTTTATTTCTTTTTGCAGAAAAGCACATTATTAGGATTGAGCAAAGCTAGAGGTGATGAGTAAATACAGATACTAAGGTGATGTGGGTACCTAGGTAGATACATGCACTATGTCTCTCACAGGGCAGCAGTTTTCAGTGTGTCACCCCGGAAGTTATTTTCTAACAGAGAAATCCTCTTAGTTGCATGTCTCCTCCTAGTCATGATCCCAAACCTTACCTGTGGCAACTATAGTGCTGTGCTACAGGGTGAAGAGATATTAGGTCAACATTAAGTGGACAAGATAAAAATAAGTTGGTGAATTTGCCTAGTTACAGAATTTTGGACACTGCACATTATATATGTGGTATATTGCACATAGCATTTTGCATCTGTGTTTTCTCTCCTCTATGGCTGTTGGACATTAACATTTATTAGCAATCGATCTCCACTTGTTGCCTGCAGCTCAAACTGTACATAAGACTTCACTCATATATATACACCTCATATTTGTACTTGTATCACGACCACGCTAAGTATATTAACTTATTTTATAAATAAGAACAAAAGAGGCACAGTTAAGTGGTTTGAGCACAGGACTTAGAGCCAGGAATTCCTGAATTCCACTACTAGCTCTTTGTGATCTTGGACAAGTCACTTAACCTCTCTGTGCTTCTGTTTCCCCAACCCAGAAAATGGGGATACCACCTTCACAGCACAAATGGAATAGGGCGAGGGTATTTGTTCAATACTTTGCAGACAGAAGGCACTGAGTACTATATGTCTTTGCAGATGCTTACGTTTGAGATAGTCAGACTGTGCATGCCTAAAGTTGGTGGATAGGTCCTGAAGCGACTGTGCTAAGCAAGACACTATGTTTCTGAGAACACGTTCTTCTTGTTCTGTACAATTACGTGACCTGCTCTGCAAGGCCTGGACTGCTCTCTGGCATCTGTGAAATAGCTGAAAAAATAATTCCCATTAGTCAAAGAATAGTAAGACATTTTAATTATCACATGGCTCAAATGCTGAATGAATGACTGTAATACTTTAACATAAGGATTTTTAAAGAAAAGTAAAGTACACTGATGTCCAGGCTGTCATTTAAATGGATATAAAAACACAGCACTCAGATGAAGACTAAAATCCAAACAACTCTGCAGCTAAATGTAAATGAAAGTTTTCTGTAAGCTAGATTTTGTAACTGATTAAAGGATTTGTGATTAAGCAAGTTATGATATTTACTTTGTGAATAAAAAAGGCATTCAAGAGAGCATGCAGGTTGTTCTGCCCAAGAACAATATTTACTCCATTAGAAAGTAATTACTTCTGTTCAGAATGGAGGTTGCATATTAGTAATACTATTTTATATTTTATAACTCCTTTACAAACATGAATTACTTGAGCCTCACAATCCTACAGCAAGGGGGTTAACATCTATATTACAGATGGGTAAACTGAGGCACAGAGCAAGTAAGTGACTTGTCATCATAGAGTCAGTCATAGAGTATGACTCCACCACCCAGGATCTCAGTGACATAGTGGAAGAACTAGGCACAGAACCCCAAAGTTCTGGCTCCCTGTTCTAACCACAAGAGCGCACTGATTATCAAACGTGAACTTTATTTCAAATAAGTCAGTGCCACACCAGGATAGAGCAAAGTAAAACTGTGGCTTCGGAAGTGAACATAATTAACATCTTCTCTGAAAATATTTTATCTGCACCTGTGTGATCTCTTGGGTAGTAATTTCTATTGCATGTTCTTCTTCGCTGCTATCATCCAAAGTAGGTCTGTTTAAATATTTGTCGTGAAGACTGGCTAATTCTTTCATCTTCTGTTTAATCCTACTGATATCATCCTGAATCTAAAAGAAATGGAGAAAGGACAGTAATGCCACAAAGGAAAAGGTTCTGACAAATATCAGATAGACTTAATTTATGTAAAGACATAATTAACAGAAGCGTGTACTGTAGAAAAATAGGCCAAATATTTTAAGCCAAAATGTACAAAGTTGGCCTCTGAGGTTTGGTCTGTGACCTTGTTGCTCTTTTGACATTTTAACTTAGTATAAACCTCCACCAGTATCCACTGGATGGGACTATGGTACTTTCAAAGATATAACTCCACTGGACTGGACCATAATACAGTCAAAGGATCATTCAAATTATATAAAAAACTAATACAAAAAACTAATATAAAATCAAAAATGTAAATGTAGAAGGGAATATGAAAAATCCAGATGGCACCTTTACCCATATCACATGGTGTTGTAATACAAACCAAGCATAATGGTTTAAATTCAAGGGAATAATTTCAAATTGGCTTCTACCAATACAACTCTAAGGTCATAAGCCAGATGTCTGCAAGCAGCGTCTTGTGCTTGTAAAGGCTGAATAAACATTTTTGTGCACATGAGGTTTTTTGTATACAGAAAAGGACATGATTGTAAATGTTGTGAGTACATTTTTGGAGGCCTTTTTGAAATCTGTACTAGTAGGTTCACTTTTTGTGCCGTGTGTCTTGCATTATGCATGTAAAACAGCATTAGAATTTACAAAAAGACTTTACTTCAACTAACTCCTTTGTAAATTACTATTACAATAAACCTTATTGCATTAAGGTTGTCACAGCTATTTTCCCAATAAAATCCTTGCACGAGAAACTACACCCAACAATAACATGCAAGTACTTACTTCTCCCACTCCATCAACCCATTTGGGAGGTAGCCGCTTTGTTACATAAACTGCTGCTTCGGGATCTAAACTGATCCCTGATACTAGTGCCATGCGATCATCAGCAAGCTATGAAGGGGAAAAGCAACAAATTTAAAGACAGAAACCGATGTCTATTCAGATTATAGACATCCAATTCAGGTATTCGTAATCACTGTAACTGCAACCTCCCTTAAAAAAGGCCATCTTAACAGAGTAGTTAATGCACTCCATGTACAGTTTACTCATTTGTGATGGATGCTCCTCATTTCCCGGCTTGTTTCTCACACATTAATTAGCAATGTCCTTGTGTCCTGCCAGGACTCGGGAGATAGAATCCACTCTGCAACTAGCGGGCAGCCACACATTTTCCTCTCTGCTTCAAAGTTGGGACTCAGGAAGCCCTTGAGCTGGAGTAAGGGAAGTGGCCTCATTCTATGTGAGAGCTTGTTGCCACTGGATCCTCATATTGGCCACATTTCTCTACAGATCAGGGCTAGCCAAAAGTTTCAAATTTCATTTCAAGGGCTTAATTTAAAAATATATATATATATATATATATATATATATATTGTTTTGTAGTCTCAAACAATAGTATGAGATTTCCAAATAACCAAAGATAATGTTTATTAGCTCCCTTTGAAGCTAAGAAAGCAAAGTTTTCTATATTCTCAGTCTCCAGTGAGTTCTTTCACATAAATACTGTATTTGATTCATTCGGAATCTCAGATACTAGGGGGACACGGGGTAGATAAGTACCTCCTAGACCAATATATTTAATAAATGATCACGTGTAAGGTCTTCTAGAACTGATATGAAGAAAACTTGGAGGATCCAAATTATGATGATCAGCAAGTTGGGGCAGCACACGGAGGGCACGGAGAATAGGAATACTTTTCCAAGAAGCCTTACAGATTCCCAAGAGGTGGAGAGTAGGGCAGAGCCCAGATGTGACTTCCCCCTGGTCCAGAGCAATGTTGGAGGTGGCAGGGGGAGGGAAGAAACCCACTCTTGCTTCCACAGCATAAGAACCCAAGTATGTTCCCCCACTATACGTTCTCAAGAGAGGAGAAGCAACACCTGCAGGCAGGCTACCCCCTCCGGGAGTCCCAAATGACTCTTATTGGCACCTTCTGAGCCTTGGAAACCAGTGACATCAAGACATCTACTCCATACTTGAACAAAAAATCTTCTGGGGGAGGAACCTTTGAAGTTTTGGTGGCCTCCCAGCCTCAGATGGGGAGGGACCAACAGAAATGCTTTTAGAAGGAAACAACCTCAAAACCATTTTGTATGTACCGGTAATTACAGTGACTCTCATAGTGAAAGCAAGCCTTTAAAAAGTGGCCCGCTAACATAATAGTATGTTCTCTAGAACAGCACAAATACAAAGAGGAAAAACATCCTGTGTATATCACAATTCATAGGAGTCACATAATTTGAATGATAGAAGATGGGTGTCATGATATAGAGTTTAATGTTATTGGAAGCTGAAGTACATTGATTTATTTACAGCAGTGTTGTAAGTTTTAAAATGAGGGTGCAGTACATTTTGAGGAGAGTTAGATAGTATACTTGAAAACAGAGCACGGATTTCTATTAAAAGATAGCATGGCTGCAACCAGATTTGAAAAGTTGAAAGGTTTTAAGGGAAAGAGAGAGAGAACTAATCACAAAGATTATCTGCAGAGTTGCAAATGCTTACAGTAAGTGTGCAGGAGCCTTATTTTCCAAATCTTACTGTTAGGGGTAGGTCAAAAAATTTTCACTTCACCCTCAAGAGGCATCTAATAAAGCCTTAAAATAAAACAAAGAAGCTAAAAAGAGCATAACATCTTTGCTCAGTCTGGCAAAGACTAAAGGCCCAGTTCTGATGTCAGATATGCCGATGCATTATATACTGTTATAGGATTTGACATAATTAATGATGAAATACACTTGTTTATCCTCAATCAGAATTGTGTCCTTAAGGTGTGGAGTGGGTGGAAGGAAGATGTCCATTTATTTCCTTACCCTAGCAATCTCTTTGTGCCCTCCCTGCCACTCCTTTTTACCCCCCAAAGCTAACAACAGAAGAATCTCAAACTGATTTAGACACATAGAACAAGGTAGTTTACCTGGATCTGTTCTTTCTGCTGAGTTAGCTGCTGTAACCTTCAGTATATTTTATTTTTTTTTATATGCGATTGAAATAACTTGTAATTAAAAAGGGAAATGAACACAGTATGTAGTTACAACAGTCAGGCTCATTACAGCTCTGTACAAACAAGGAAACTCTGAGGTAAGGCCAATAGTACAATAAACAACAACATAAACCACTTAACACTCCTATAGCACTTTCCTTCTGAGTACCTCAGAAAGAAAACTTTAACAAACCCTCACAAATCCCTTGAAGTAGTATCCTAATATAACTGATGGGTAAATAGAGGCACTGAGAGGTTAAATGACTTGTCCACAGAAAATTTATGGCAGAGCTAGAAATGAGACCTAAGTCTCTTGACGCCCAGTCCTGTGATCTAGCCACTAGACCATACTTTCTAACTTAATTCACTCAGCCTCCTCTCATTCCCACTGAAGTACTGCTGCAACGCACTGCTCCAGCTACAAACAGAACCACTCCGCTTCTTTATAGGACATTGAACGAATAATAAAATGGCTTTATTTTATAATTAAATAAAGCAGCATGAATGGTCTCTGATGATGTACCGGTACTTTATATTAAGAAAAAGTTACTGAAGTACGTTTTCTTCAGTTCATTTTGTTTGGGTTGCATTTTGAAGTAGGTTGCTGTGCCTATACAGATGGATTATACGTGATTGCGAAGGCAAGATTTTTCAAAATGTCATGTAAACCGAAGATGTCATAATAGAGAAATCCCACTAATACTACTTTGCGTAAGCAGATGGCAACATGTATATTTTGTAGCTGTGCCGACAATCAAAAGCTGTGCAAATTAATTGTTTCTAGTGTATAATGTTTTTCTAATTTAAAAGCTTAAGCTTTGAAGATCTGTTGATAATAAGGATACTCCCCCAAAGGCCCTGTTGCTGCAAACATTACTCGGCACACTGCTTAGTCCATTGAAACCTAAGGGACTACTCTCAGAAATAAGCCCTATGCCTGCTATAGTTTACAAAAGCAGGAATAACATTTAATGGTTTCACTGTATAAAGTTTTTATATATAGTGTGTACAAAGTAAATCTGGACAGTTTTATGTAAGTATATAGTAATACTGTAATGTGACTACCCTGAACATCAAAATGTCTCACAAAAGCTCTCCTTCACACTAATGAAAAAGCTGCCTCATCCTTGTATTGTGAAAAAACCATCAGTGATCTCACACTGTTAAATCTCAAAAATTAACAGTAAAAAGAAATGAGTGTTCTAACTAATCATCATCTACACTGGATGCACCATGGTGGAACAAAACATAAAAAAAATAATACCTCATCCAGCTCCTGATATGATTTGTTGATTCCATCAGCCCCATCCATTTAGGGACAGCAAAAGGTAAAAGAGAGAGAGAGAGACATAGGACAGAGATAGGGTACAGTCAGTTGAGAAAATACTGAAGCTTTATTTTTTAAAAATTGACAGTTTACCAAAACAAACCAAAGAGGCTCTTAAAACAGTAATGGCTAATAAAATACAGCATTCTCAATGTATCTATATAAGCATTTAGCCTGGTGCACAAAAGTACATTTTTCTTTAAAAGTTATTTCAGTTAAACTGGTAAACAGGAACACAATTTTTGTTTAAAAAAAATAATCAAGGAACAGTCAAGAAATTGATTTAAATACAATATATGATTTCAAATACCAACTATCAGATAGAAGAATTGCTGTGTAAAACATGTTTAATGTGAGCTGTAACAGTTGAATGTAGCAAGGATCATGTGTCCATAATATTCAAAACCCAGCATACATTTTGACACATTCAATTCAAGAAAGAGATTGGAGGACCTGTATGCATTTTGGTTTGATATTTTTATTAGGCAAAGCTTAAAAAATTGACTCAAGACACACATTTACTGATAAGCATCCCACTCACCTTAAGAGGACATAGTGAAAGGCAAAAAAAGCCACACCCAAACACCAAAAGATGCAAGAGCTAGTTTAGTATACTCTATTTATCAAATAATGTTATTGTTCTTATAGTTGAAAAGCATATAAAAGACTAGCAACTACAATATATTTGCAACTTTATCAGTGTAACCACTGTGTTATCTTTGTACTGTATGGTGTATGAATAGGAGGCCAGAAGAATCATTGAAAAATAAAAAAAGCAAACGTTACTTTTAAAGCAAGGACAAAATGCTTCAGAGGTAAAAAGGTGTCTCATGCTACACTTAAATACCTCTTATATTTACATACTCCGCTTTAGAAATAAAAAGTAATTTAAGAATGCTAAGTATTTAAACTTTGCCTGAGTATTTAAAATTTCAGTTGCATTGATTCAATGACTGTCAGTATCAGAAGGCTGAACTATTCTAATGCAGAATAAAAAAAGTTAACTTTTTACAGCAATTTCTAGTACTCATGAAGGGTGGTAGATCAACAACCCTGGAACCTGTTTATCCCAAAACAAAGTAAGACAAGGTAGTGACAATTAGGCTTTGTCAACCTGCCATTGTGCTTCAACCCTGCTCTGGAGGCACCATGTTAGGGAGGAAAAGGCAATTTGCATAGATGCTATACTGCTAGGTGTAGTGATAGGCACCCCAGACAGATATATGACAGATAGCTCGGTCTATATCGTTTTTGGCTTTCTTGCTGAGACAAACGTGGATTTAACTAAGTCACAATTATGGAACAGACAGCTGTCCACTAGGAACTAGGTCGAATTAATAATTCATTTCACACAGGGCAACAAGGAGACATGAAGCTTTTCAATCTCTGCCAGTACTGGTTGCATTTACACCAGCACTTGACAAAATAGCTTTTTATTCCATCAATGCTAGTAAAAAGGCTTTGAAAATATAAAGCTGTAAACAAGTGCTAAGTATTACTAACCCATTACCCTTTCAATGGAAACTGAATTTGATTGGCCAGCTGCTTCTACGCCTGTTTTTACGATCAGTAACATTTCTAGGTAAATATTAAAACTTTAGAATGTCTAAAAAAAATCCTGGTGATTTAACAACCTCTAATTACAATCTGGACAAATAAAATTTTAGAAAAGCCAAATAGAGTGCCAAAATAAAGTACATTTAAAATATATTACTAGGTGTGACCTTTACTATTTTATAAATGTAATTTCATAAGGAGCTTGTACAAAGATAGGTGGAATAAAGCTAACCATGAACAAAGATTAGTCAACGGCAGCTCCCAGGTTGAAATGGAATTTATAGCATTAAGTACCGTTTCTCCTTACAGAAAATGCACTAATGAAAAGCAACAGAGAAAGAAAGGAGGACCCATACGTTTACTGGAGGCTTTTCTAAATAAATGAGAAGATTGACTTAAAAGTGGAAATGGACAGAGACAATTCTATACTAATGTAGTTTCAGTTACCAGCCAGAAATCTACTTGGCTGGGCTGTCAAATGGGGTGCTTCGTTACTTACTGAAATACAATTTTTAAAACTCAATTCAAATTGGGCCTGTTTATATACATTTACAAAAGCCACTCTCTCTCGATAATTATTTCATAAGTGATTTCAAAGTAACACTGGAATCTGAAGTTTTCCATCACAGTCTGACCAGACCAAAATTTACAAACAGCCACAGGTATAGAGTTTGTCCTCTTGCACTTGAGGATTATGCTTGGTGGTATCTGCACTATGTATTATAACCACTTTGCAATAGAATACAAACAACAAAAGCTATAAAAACTGTCAGAGAAGAAAGAGGAAACAAACAATAAGATATTAAGGAGAAAAATGGAAGGACTTCTCCTTTCATATTTAAAACATCCAAATTAGAACTGCAGCATATATATAATAAGTTGCTGTATGTTTAAATTACCAATGGAGAGAATACACTCCAAGCCCCAATCCTGCAAACTGATGTACAAGGGTGGACTCCTGTGCCTGCAGAGTCCAATTAGCTTCTACATTTGCTATTATACTATGAAGTATTTTCAAGTAGCTGAAATAATATTTAGCTGAAAAAATGTACAGAGTTTTGTATGCTGGATTTTTCCATACTTAGCTGTATATATAGCAGTGGAATGTGGCTTTATTAAAACAAGCAATTAAATTTCAGAATGGAAAAATAGCAAAGCTAATTCCTACCAGGGAAAGAAAAATTGAATGACTGATACATAACTAAACATGTCAAATCACTTATGGCCCTGATCTCACCTGCAGATGTGCTAATCAGCACATCTGTGCCTGCATGGTGGCCTGCTCTAATTGCATCTTCTTGCAGGAATGGTAGCTATAACATAGACTTCATACAATGGGTCCAATTTTGAGATCCTTCCTTAAGGATTCAACAGGGGCTTTGCCTGTGAGAGTCATACATATGTATGCATATGTACATGTTCTTTAAAACAAGGAAGAATCAAACTATGAACTAAAAGTGTACCTGGATTCAGACTGACATGAAGATATAAAAAACGGAGTGGCTGCAAATGGTTTTAAAACTAGACAATTTTTATTTCATTATTGCTTTTGCTTAAATTGTTTCCTTGCTTTTTTCATCACTCTATGTACAACTGGAAAATAGATGTTTGCATTCACTAAGATAACAGAGCTAGTTGCTTTGGAAGTTCAAAGTCCTAATAAAATTCAGCTTCTAGATTGCTTCTGGGTGACAAATTCCCTAAAGGGAATGGTGTAATGTTTTGGGGTAGGTTAAAAGAGAGGCAAACAAGCACTGGCTGTGTGGACAATTATAAGCCATCCTACTTCCTTTTTTCCTACACTTTCACTAAGTGTCATTATGTGATGGTATTTTCAGAATTTGGAGATTGAATGGAATGCATCTATTGATTGAACAACTTCTACAACAAGAAACAACAAAAAGATCCGTCAGTTCTAGGATGCCATGTTACATGAGCTTCAAAAGGCATTCATGCATTGCATTTTAACAAATTTATGACACCATGCTACCGATGGGATAGCCCAGTGGTTTGAGCATTGGCCTGCTAAACCCAGGGTTCTGAGTTCAATCCTTGAAGGGGCCATTTAGGGATCTGGGGCAAAAATCTGTCTGGGGATTGGTCCTGCTTTGAGCAGGGGGTTGCACGAGATGACCTCCTGAGGTCCCTTCCAACCCTTGTATTCTATATGCCTCTTTTTTCCTTAAAATATCAGATACACATTGAAGAGAGCACAGTCATTCATTTTACTTCAGAAAAGGGAAAAAAAAAAGAGATACCAGCAACTTGTCTCAAGATAAGAAAAGGTTAAAACAATGGTGGTCAACTGCATTATAAGTTTTAACAGTGCCCACAACAAAGTGAGAAGAAGAGATCAGAATGAAAAGATAGCTTTGTTCCTTTCATCTGGGAAGGGAGGTGGGGTTGGGAGAAAAAGGAGAGACAACAACTTAATGTCTAATAATAATATGAAGATATTTAAATAATAATAAAGATTATTATTTATGGAGCAAACAGACAAGATCAGTATGATAGGACAGATCTATTCTATTCATTTTACATGGGGAGAGGACAGTGGGAGGGAGAGGCGGTCTTAGAAGTGTGGGACAAATGGAAGGTGAGAGATGAGGAGAAAAGTGTAAGGGGGAAGGAAATAGTAAGAGGAAAGGAGATAGGGAGGAGGAGAAATATAGAGTGAGGAGAAGGGTGGCAGGGGGAGAAGGTGAGGCAAAGGGGTTTACTAGGGGCAGAGGAGATGGGGTGAAGAGAGGAGGAAGGAGGAGACAAGGACACTTGCTGTCTGACTGTCCTAAGCAGATGGCATTAGAGCAGCAAGTGTGGGATACAGTAGGATGAAGGGAGGAGACTCACCGCAGCAGCCATGCTACGTGAATTCAGAGGGCTGGAGGAGCTGTAACTACTCACTTGCTCGGCCAGCAGCTGCCGGTTTTGGATCGCGTTGTTCCGCAACAACAAGAACGCGTCTGTTAAACGCCGGGTGGCCATGGCTCTACTTCTAGGGCCCCCCTGGACTCCCCGCAGAGCTGTCACGGGACCCCTCGGCACCCCCAGGGGTCCCAGCCCCGAGCCTTCAAGGGCCCTCCCTGCACTGCCAGGGGTCCCAGCCCCGCGCCTTCAAGCGCCCTCCCTGCACTGCCAGGGGTCCCCGGATTCCTCGACTCCCCTTCGGCCTGCACGGGACACCCCGAACCCCCCAATGGCTTCTCTATCTAAGGACTCCCAGGTCAGGCTTGTGCCCTGAGCATCCCCCCCCCCCGCACCCCAGGGAGCCCCTGAGCCTCCCCCGCTGTCCCAAGGCGCCTGGCTCGCCTAGGCCTGGGGCGCCCGCTCTAGCTCAGCCCAGACACCCCGGGGCGGTTACAGCGCGAGTCCCCGGCGGCTCCTTCCCGCCGCTCACAGGGACCAAGGAGCGGGAACGAGCCCCGACTCCCTGCGGCAGCCCCCGGCTTCATCCAGCCTTCCTCCCCGGATCTGACTGCGGCCCGGCTCACTTCCGCGTGGTGCATCGCTAGTACTCCTTCCCCCGGCCCGCGCGCCGCGGCACCATCGTTCCGGCCCCGGGGCGGCCTGGGCACCCGCCCAGAATGGGAGGGGATGAGCGGGGTGAGGGTGGGAAGACTTTCCGCCTGAGACTGAGATCTTGAGGGATTCCTCAGGGCTGCCCCACTGTCCCCAGCATCACTGGGCAGCGCCATGGGGGTTAGGGTGACCAGATGTCCCGATTTTATAGGGACAGTCCCGATTTTTGGGTCTTTTTCTTATATAGGCTCCTATTACCCCCCACCCCGGTCCCGATTTTTCACACTTGCTGTCTGGTCACCCTAATGGGGGTTGCCCCCAGTGCCAAGCCTGTGGGTGCTGCAAGTGTCATGGGGCCTTTGCTAGGGTTGCCAACATTGTATTTCAAAAACAAGGGACTGTTTTCTTAGCACCTCTGCCCCACCCCTCCTCTGGGTATTATTAATTATTATTAATAATAATATAATTAATAAGCAGTACTCATCTATATTCGCCAGCGGTATTTTTTGCAGCACTCAGCAATTCCTGAGCTTGTTGTACAGAGATGAAAAAATAAGGGATGGATGTCCCTCGTAATAAGGGACTGTTGCCGGGGCCATCCCAAGTTTGTAACAATGTCCTCGAGGGGTCACTGTCTGCAGGGACCAAACTCCCTGAAAGCTTAAACCGGTACTGATCAGGGCCGGCTCCAGGGTTTTTGCCGCCCCAAGCAGCGCAAAAAA